TGATATTCCCCTACACGTAATGCATCATTTCTCTTGATTGCTTTCAAGGTTATTTTTCTTTGTCTTCTAAGTTTTCAGAAATTTTATTCTAATATGTTTTAGTGTGAATTTTAAAAAATTTTTTTTGTTAGGAATTTGATAAGCTTCTCAGATCTGTAGGTTTGTATCTTTCACCAAAATTTAAGAGTTTTCAGCCATTATTTCTTCAAATAATCTTTCAGTCCTACTCGCTCTCCTCCTCCTTGAATTCAATGATATATAAATGTTGGCTCTTTTGTTATTATCCCACAGGTCTCTAAGGCTCTGTTCATTTATTTCAATCTATTTTCTCTTGTTCAGATAGGGTAAATTCCAGTGATCTGTTCTCAAGTTTATGATTTCATCCTCTGTCATCTTCATATACTATTGAATCTTTCCAGTGAGATTTTTATTTTTGTTTCTGCATTTTTAGTTCTACAATTTCCATTTGATTTTTAAAAATAACTTCCATATCTTTGCTGACATTTTCTATTTTTTAATTTGTTTCAACAGAATTTGTATTTGCTTATTGAAGCATTTTACGATGGCTGCTTTAAAATTCTTGTCACATTGTATAGATGTAGACGTGAACAAAACCAACTCCAACTCTGTGTCCTGGATTTCATTTTGTTTTTAAGTTTTATGCTGTGACATTTGACAAACCTCACTTTCCTCCTTAGCAAGCATATCAAAGCTTTCTAGTATCTGTGTTCCTTAATATGTAGACATAGATATTTTTGTTAGTAACAGCTGGAATGGCATGACAATGGAGATAAATATCAAACCGGTGATAATACTGATTATAAACAATCATCTGTCACAGGAGGTGTGGCCCCTGGAGCTACTGCATTCTTTGTCCCTTTGTCTTGTCAGTTATTAGTACCTGAGTTGCACTATTTAAAAAAGTACTGTAACAAGCATCTATTAGCAGAGAATAATCTGTGCAGACTGCTGGGTCATCTCTTCCGCTCTGACTCAATCTTCCCATAAGTACATTACCCTATAATACATTCCGTTACATTCTATAGAGTTGCCTGCTTTGTTATGGGGTCTGAAAACGCCTTCTTGTTATGGTGCCCATTACACCTTTTCTCCACCATCAGACACACATGATTCCAACATCTGATTGATCTCCATGTTGGTGTCGGTTGCTTTTTCTCAGTCAAGCTGTGATTTCCTTGGTTTTTGTTAGGATGAGTAATTCTCAATTGTATCATGGATATTTTGGCTATCATGTTAGAAGATTCTGAGTCCTGTTTAAATGTTTTATTTTAGAAGGCAATAACCCTGTTTAGGTTTATCACACAGGTTCTGTACTACTTTTATGGACTATGGTTTCAATGACATTTTAATTTTATTAATAGAAGCTTTTGTAGTGAGTTTATTTGTTTGGGGTGAGAGATGTTTTGTTTTGTTTGTTGCCTGTTTGATATATTTGTTTCCATGAGGGCTCACACTGGTCCTAGCTGGCTGCCTGAGGGGCAGAGGAATTTCCCCAGCAGGCCACTGGGTGTCTCTGAGATAAGAGAGGCCAGCCAGGAAGGGGAACACCTGGATGGGTGTTTGTTGTTAGTAGGTTACCTCTTTGCTGGTGGTACCAGGCTCACCTGCTGTCATCAGATCCAGGAGAGGAAGGTGCATACCTGGCCTGCACCTGCACACTCACTTCCCTCTTATTCTAACCCCATCCTGCCTCCCAGGTGATATATTTGTACATATTTTGAAGCTATATTTTAGTTCTGGACTTTTACTACATTTTTGTTTTATTTGTAAGTTCTCTATTTCATCAACAGTAAAATTTACTAAGGTTTTGGGGTTTTTTCCACATACTTTCTCATATAACTTACCCGTCCTCTTGGACTTACTTTTCATCTGGTTGAAATACTTCCTTTAAGAATTTCAAAGAATATATGTATGGTAAGCCTTTTAAGAGCTCAGAGGTCTGAGAACATCTTTATTTCACACTTAATACTAACTGNAATAAAAATAGAACTAAATACACCAAAAGGTTTTCTTTTTGCCCTTCTATATTGTAAACTTCTACAAAAATTCTACATGATTTTATAATCATATTCAGGAGCTATGAAAACTTTAAAAAGTTTATATGGTTCCGTGGGAAGCCCTCCCAGTATTCTCTGCTGTCATTGGGAGGGTGGCCCCTGCTGAGGAGATGGGGATGGACAGACCTCACCTGTTCGCTGCCAGTGCAGTGAGGAGACGGATCCAGGTGAGCTTTCCATTCTTCAAAGGCCTGCAGAGGGGTCTTCCTCTCATCTGCAGGGCGGGGCCTGGGAGAGGTGACTGGAGAGGGTGTACAGGCAGCTCCCTCTACCTCTTCCACCGGCCTTTCCTCTTCTGCAGACCAGCTGCCTCCGGCCTCCTGGAGCTGCAGGCTCTGCATAAGCAACCGACAAGCTTCCAAGTCAGCTTCCCACACTTTTCGAAGCAATGGGCACTTACAGCTAAGACAGAGGGGAAAAAAAGGCATGAAAATCAATATAGTGAGGTTTCATCACAGCAAGTCAATAGCTTTGTCTACCTGGCTTAACGTTAGATAGTCATCTTACAGTTGTCAACTTCATTTTACATAGTGATGGATTATGAAGACCAGAGGATGCAGAGGGGCCAAATTTGCGTACCACCAAGTAGCTGTAAGGTAAGTATTGGTCCTTCTTAGCTACTTGGTCTGCAAAGACACTCAAGATCCTGTGTGTTTTCCCAGACTCAGTGGCCCAACACAACAGTCCCTGCTCATGTCTGTGCTCCAGCCCTGCTGACTTTCTTTGAATCCCCAGGCGTGCCTAACTCTCCCTGGCTAAGGACTGTTTCATGTGCTTTCATCTGTCTAGATTGTGCCTCTCCCACTATTACCCTGGGTAACGTAAATGAGTGAAGCAGCGCAGGGGTGATATAAACCATAATAATAGGTATTCAGCCTCAGTGGCAGAAAGCAATAGGGAGGCACGGACTCCAGCTATTCGGAAAGACATATCCCTTTACAGGGAGCTTGTCATCATCAGACCAACTAAAGCTATGAGTAAGGTAGACTCAGGGTTCACACAATTTTGATTTTTTTTTTCATGGAAAGCCAAAAATCTGTGATTTTAAATGGAAATATGTATTTTTTTAATCCATTTATGCAGCTTCAGGCTGGATATTTTCTATACACCTAGCTTCCATTTAATAATCCTTCCCTCTACTGTGTCTAATCTGCTATTCAATTTACCAATTGTTTTCAAGTTTATTTTTCCATTCTATAATTTTTATTTGATTTTTTTTACATATTTCAGTTCTCTGCTGAAATTGTCCATCCTATCCTCTATCATCTTGAATCTATTAATCATCATTATTTTAAAGCCTGTGTCTATAAATAATGAATTCAGAAGGAAAACAAAAGGATGAGACAGGAGCAATATGAGAAGAGATGTTAGCTAAGAATTTTCAAATATTAATAAGGGAAATCAAACCACACATTCAGGAAGTACTACAATCTCAAAACAGAAAAAAATCAAAGAAAAAAAAAACACACCTAAGTTCATCATAGTGAAACTGCTGAACACCACAGAACAAAACTTTTAAAAGTAGCCAGAGAAAAAAAAGACATTTCAAAGGAACAATAATGTGGCTGTCAGAAGCGGTGGAAGCTAGGAGACAATAAAACATCTGTCAATCTATAAATTACATAATTATTTTCAATTTCCTTCAACAGTAAAAGTAAAATAAAGATATTTTCAGATAAATAAAAACTGAAAGAATTCCTTGGCAGCAGATCCACAATAGAGAAAATGATCCCAGCCGGCAGCAAGCACAAGCATGAAGGAATGAAACCAACAAGAAGAGTAAACAGTGGGTACGTCTAAGTGAATATTGATGTAAACAGCAATCATAATTTCTTTCGTAGTCTAAAATATATA